CTAAGATGGCTTACAACACTAGAGACAATGGAAAGTTTTGCACAATTTACATCAATAATTTTCCATGACAGATATGATTTTTTAATGGAAGAGGAGTTAGCTCAAACATTAATTAACTCTCGAAGAATGTACCAGAACGCCGCCATGTCGCATGTTTGTTGTATGTTGCTTGCATGGTACAAGTAACTAGTAGCGATAACCGGTTGTACAGGTAAGTTCCCAGCGTTCGAGCGGCCGACCCACAAACAACAATTCGAGCTGTTCCTGATACGAGAACAAGCCGCTCGAACTCAGCCTTGAGGTCTGATGATAACGATCCAGGACACACCTAGTTATGAATTTCACAACCTCAAATAATAATTATGAGACTCTCAAATGTACCCCGAACGGGCCTATGGAAGATTTTTATGTGAATCATGGGTAAAATAGCAGAGAGGGGAGACGAATTTTACAGACTAGATAAGAACCATAATATTATAACAAAGATCACATAACGATGGCGCCAAACGATCTTGAGCATAAGACCATTTTCAAAATAGTTTGTGGTCCACTTAACAGTGTTGAGGGTGGTGGTCCACTTAAAAATCCTCACCAATAGGCCCGTTCGGGGTACATTTGAGAGTCCCATCTGAGTGTGTGAAATTCATAACATCATCATACAATAATTGACGTGTCTACACGTCTGAATGACCATCTTTCAAGCGTGTTAATAAATTTTGATATTCCTTCTGAACGCTGACTTCATGATTGTGGCCAAAAGTAGGCCTATGTCTGCCTTAAATTTCCAATAAGAGACCATGCCGACTTCAAACTCGAAACCAGGAGTACGTTTTAAAATTGAATCACAATTGAGACGAATCCAGCGACATTTACTGGATATTTCCTATAGTCCACGGAAATCACCGTGCTGATTTTGTATGCCAACCGACTGTAACGGCTCATTGGCTTCATAGAATCACTGCTTTAATACCGACATTGGCGGGGGCCACTGCACATGATCAGGAATGGTCTGGCCGTGTCAGTGGTTTCATCTACAGAGATGTACGAGATTTGAAAACTTCAATCGCAACAACTGAAGGTTAAACCAAGCCGTCTGAAAGGTTAACAACTGTGTTTGAAAGTCTGATTATGATGATCTCACAAATATAATCACGATGCTCGAAAGTTAGAGTAGAACATTAACTCTTGCAGCATCAATTGAATGCACGCAACATGCATGCGGTGAAAATCCGCTTGAAGCATCTTCGAAACAGTGACGTACCGTTAACCGCTAGGGACGACTTGCATGGGGGCATATCCTGCCAAGCCCCCCCCCAGCCATGTATGCCCCCAACCCAATCACAAGAAATGTGCGCACCCGTGGATGTCACATCAGAATCGTTACCCTGACGCCAGTGCTTCAAAACGTCGGGCAGTTTATTTGGTGCCCTCTGTTGTCCACGACTCAATTTATAGGCGCTCATTTCTATTTGATGAGGACCACAAAGACGTAAAAGTCGTTAATTATGGGTACGTTATTCCATCATGAATACATTTAACCCTAAGAGAGCCGGGGTAGAATCCGCCCCCCACCTTCAATATTTTTTTTCCAAATATTTCTGCAGTGCATTTTTTCAAGAGTTGAACCTTTAGGAGTTTTCAGATTAAATCTTTGCGGTCGTTTTGACACCGATTTTGCGAAAACAGAACATACCGTTTTTGCGGAGCACGCATTTTATCGACACGAAGCGGCCGACATGTACATACTTTTTCCACTGCGGACTGTCTGGCACACACTGAATTTCAAATGACCGCAACAACAAAGCCATGAGTCCGAGTCTGGTTGGGTTTAAACTTCATGTAATGATAAGGGGTGTCTTTATATTCATGTCAAGCTTTAAATAAAAAATCAAGCGAGGCACAGCCAAGTTCTTGGGGGCAGAATCCGCCCCGACTGTGAAATGGGCCAAAATAGCCTGGCTTTTTAAAGGTTGAATTAAAGTGTGGTCATATTTAAATTACGTTTTGTAAAACCTCCAAGCATTTCGATTTTTGTCATTATGTTTCCGTAGCCCGTAACTTTCGCTTGGTGAATAACAGTGATCCTGCACGTTGAAAATTATTATAATAAAATATGATAATTATAATCATTATTATAAAAGAGACAGATGAATAATATAACAAAATGGAAAAACCAAACATTTATTTTTCAGACTATCAAACACTTCTACTGCCACAAAATCACAACATTTTTGTGAAACACCCAAGCAAAATATTTATTTGGCAAGAGGGATTTCGAAAACAGATTAATCATTGAAAATCAAAAATCTACAAGTTATCAGTCATTATTTTACTTAAATAATGGTCACACTAAAGGTATTAATTTAGACTCAAGCCATTTCTTATGATACATCGAATCCATTCCTTTTGAAAAATATGTACTTAGCGGGTTTCTGTATTTACATTATTTACATGCATTCAGCCATGAAAAACAGTTACTAGAATTAACACTCCGTATAAGGCACACTAGCGTGAGTGGCTCTTTGTCTTAACAATTAACAATTTACTTAGTAATTTAATAACCAGTAAAATGCCCTTGCGGTATCTGAGTGGGCAGATCTAGGAGACTTCGGGAGCCATCTCTCCCCCCCCCCGACTTAAAAAAAAAGTTTTTGAAGAATGATGAGAGAAATGCACTGATTTGAAAGGACTAATTCCTTTCCTTCCAAAATGCACATTAAAAAAGCCTCTTTTAAATTCAGCTTCACCCCTCAGAAAGAAAATAAAAGGTTCCCTCCCCCTCTCTAAAACAATTTTGGCCTCATGAAACATTGTTTCTGGATCTGCCCTTGTATACACAGTGCTGAAATTTTAAAAGTAACCAGATTTGAGACCGACTGAGGCGGGAATTCTCTCGGCTCAAACAAGATACAAGTGTTTTTGTTCATAGAAAACCTGTAAATCACGCAAAACACTACGAATACAACTTAACTGTGACTTAAATTAGTTGCCGTTATTCAAATTATTAAGATTGTTGGAAGACCTCAAAATGGAAGGCACAATCGGCGCTGCACACGCTAACCACATGCATATGTTACAAGCTAAAACGTGCACAAAATTAGATTATTATATTATATCGGACGCACACATAAATATTCCATGGCTTTTGCATTTAAAAGCAACTGAACATATTGTTATAATAAAACTTATTAATTTTAATTAATTTTACCAAATGTATTGCCACGGAGATCTGATTATTCTTAACCGAATTTTCAGTTTTATACAAGCTCCCAAAAAGGAACTGATATCGAAATTCTATTCTCCAAGTTTTTTTTTTCAGCGCTCTACGAACTTCAAAAGGTGGGATAATTACTGGGATCCGTTTCTGGATTCTCCCCTTAATCTAAACTCAAAGAGGAAAACAGAGAAGAAAAGCATTGTATCTTCTGTTGTACTTAACTGCAAAAAGTATCTTCTCGTGATTTGAAAAAGGGTTTAAAATCACAGTTATGTATTAACACTATTTCGCTTATTACTAAAGCAAGAGTCATTCAGTTATTTCATTTTCAGAGTTTATTGTGCTGGCTTTATACAAAGAGTCCTTCTAGAGGAAACGTTGACGACAAGTCAGTTTAAAACACGGGATAGGGAAACCCAACAGGAGGGAAACCCCAGAGAGAAAAAATAAGAAAAAGTTCCACGTGGTCCAGTCGTACACAAACCCTATCCCGATGGTGAAGCGGGTGGGATTCGAACTTGAGTCATTGGACGACTGAAAAGGACCATGTCATCTTGACTGCTCTATTTGCAGGTGTTGACCCAGACAGACTGGCTGCATTGCCGGCATTTGACCTGGCAACACCAGTGGAACTTACAGTTACACCATTCCGTCTTCCTCTCTAGCTTAATATTGTAGCCCCTCCCACAGCACATACTATTGCAGCCATTCGGGCCGTCACTGGTCCGGTTGCAATACCGGTCCTTGGTGCCCAGGGTGCCCACGCCGGGATCGGCCTGGCAGAAGTCGGGTGACTCCTCCAGGAACACCAAGTGATCCTTGGGCGGTGAAGGTGGCCTCTTGCGCCTTCGCCGCCGCTGGCTGTCGGCGGTCACCGGCGTGGGATCGTCGGCCAACCTTAGGTTGCCACCGATGTTGTTGCGCGCCACCACTTGTTTGGCTTCGTGAAACTTCACCAGCAGTCTGTCCCCGACCTCGCTGAAGTGGGGCGTTTGCATCCAACACGTCTTAACCTCACAGCTGCCAGACATACCGTGACACTTACATTTCTTGACAGCATACTCAGCAACCGCCTGTAAAAAGGACAACATTACAATTAGCATGAAATTTTAAGCAAAATGGAAGAAGAAAGGGATTAGAACGAGAAGATGGGGGGAGGTCAAACGCGCCAGGAATAAGACCAAAGTTGTGTTTTACAGCCAGGCCACCCATGCTATATTGGCGTTGGCAGTGACGTCAGACTTTCATAGCGCGCATAAGTAAGTGCGTGACAGGAACCCTCAAAATGGCTCCCGAACGTGCAGGAGTCACGTTACAACTAACGCTGTGTCAATTTAATAGCAAATCGGGTACAATGAAAGTCGACATACTCGCTAATTCCAACAATTGGACATGCCATTTTGACCATTTTGCTTCATGAAGTTGAGGGTGGTTGCGGACTACTGTCTACCTCTGAGCATACTTTGGTAACAATCGGTGGAATTAATCTGCGGGACAACACAATTGCGCCGCTCCATCGTCAGATCGATCCTGAACGAAACCTTCGATTTTTATGTACATTTTACAAGACAATCATGCCCAAAGTCTTGAATAAAAAAGGATAGTCAACCGAACGGCAGCGAATAAACAATTATGCACAGGACCGACCGATAGCGCAGCGCGATGGCGCCCAACATAACCACAATTGCGGTGTGTGAATTGACGGGGTGAATTTAAGACATTACAATAGATGATCCAAATAATAAAAACCTTTTTGTCTTTATATTATTCGACACAAACTGCAATCAGATTTGCTAAATCCGTGATCACAAATCGCTGTTGCACAAGTTGCAAAATAATTGTTTTTCAGTGCCCGCCGCATCCCCCACGTCGACTTAAGTTTTCTCTTCGACTTTGACGAGCCAATAACACCTTCAAATGCGGTTTTTAATACTGTCTGGGTGGGCGTTTGCGGTCTGCTTCTCCGTTTGAACGTGGCCTTGTTAATTTTCTTCGGGTTCTTGCACATTTGTTGTCAGCGTAAAGGATACATTTACCCTATTGTCATAACTTTGATTCACCATGGTGTAATAACAACACGTTTATTCAGTTAAGTAGCACTGATGGCCATACATGACTCCCTGTTTCTCATTCATGAGAGGAAATCGACCGTATTATGTTTTCCTATCTTAATGCTCACGTTTCGTTTTCTTGCATTGGAAAACAAACACAAGGCAATTGCAAACGCAGATAGATCAGTTGTGGTAGATTACCTGTTTTGCCAGTGCTTTCCAGCATTACAGTCTGATAGTTGACACTTCCAGCTGGGGAACCGGAATGGGAGGGGGGGGCACGTTGCCCCGGGACATGAAAGTGCAACACCTCGGAAGGGAGGGCTCATTTGCGGATGAAAATTTTGGATAATCGTTTCAGAAAACAATCCCAATCCACCTGGAGTCAGAACCTAAATACGTTAATTGGGCTTACGAATTATCAGGTCAAAATGATCAGTAAAATTATGTCCTTTTGAAGACACACTGCTTATTTCTTAAATTTGCCTATAGTTTTATTGTCACTTCCCTTCATCCCTCCGGAAATGCTAGACTATACGCCTTAAGAGTAAGAACCAACACCTTCCAGAGACATTCCAATAAAAAGTCCAGAAATCCTCAACAGCGACGATGTCCTCGGTTTTCAGTTGTTCCTGCTGATTGTTTTATTGTAAGCCAAAGTTCAGTTCATTTTGAAGTACTATCTCCTTTCAATTCACTGTTCTTGGTTCTAACAACGTGGATCACGAGAACGAGAAATGATAGGAACTGACGGAAACGGTTGCATGACGAGGTACATTAGTCCGAGACAAAAACGTCGGACTCATATTCCGAAAAAAAAATGAGCCATACAGTAACACCCCTTGAACGTGATTTATTCATATGTCTGAGTTGAAAGCGACGTAGCTTTATTTCAGTTCAGCTGTCATAAATCGTTAAAATGGTTACGAGGAACTGAAAACATGTTTCGGATTCCGGATTGACACCCAACGGTGAGAACGCGTGTACGTGGGCTAACCGACCGGACCGTTAAGCAAATCAACCCAGCACGGTGCCAAGCTGGACGCGGTAAACTACAAACGCACCCAGAAAATTGCAACATTCTAAACAACTCCTGCTTCTAATATAAAGGGCACTTAACCACGACCCACGGGGTCCAGGACTAAATCGTTGGGACTTTCCGAAGGGGTGATGTGGGGCTGATATTCTGCAAATAAGGGCCACCGAAGGAGAAATATCAACCTGTCGTTAACATAACATTTGAAAAGGAAAATCTCCCGCAAAAAGCATTATACGAAATGACCACCCATTAGTGTTTGTGTAACCATCATCTCCTCAATTTCAGCTTGCCAGATATGATTTAAATCGAAATGCAGAATAGCCCAGTACCAAGTCTCATTATGTGTTTTGACCATGCAGAGGCACATTCCGCAGGTCATAAAAGTCTTCACAAAAGGATAGAATTTCGAAACTTTAAAAAAGACTCAGTGAACTTTTTTTAAATTAACTATAATAACAAATTCACTAATTCAATTTGTATTCATTTAACTACGATGACATTTTGACGGTGGGAATTGTTATTTTGCACCCAGTAAATGACCCGTGTTAAAACCATCTCAGACATCCTGGGAGTGCTCAAGGGTGGAATGACAACTTCCATGCATGAGCTCTCCTCCCACAGTTTTTTTTTACTGGCCACCGGAACTTGTCTAGCGAAAATCGGATATCCGTCAATTTATGGCTCCACCAAAAAAAGAAAAAAAAAAACACTCAGACAGAATAGCCTAAATGCTTACGGAGGTCTGGCATTTAACAACGGCCTCTCAGCCATCTCAAGTTTATGGTCGGCGAATTAGGCCAGGTTTGGGGCTGGACTGTCTCCCAGAGGGCCCGAGAGTAGCGTTTGACCCCATCACCAGCAATTAGGGTTGAAACTTTAAACTCGTGTCGTGGTAACATGTCGATGGTCTTGAACTCCAGCGCCCGCCCCGCGGTTCGTGGGATGCTGGTTTGACCTTGGAGGGTGTCATGAACCCCTCTACTCCGGCAGGAGATCACGGGAACAAACCCACATTCGTTTGATTAAAATTGAGGTCAGATTTACAGTTATTCCTTATAACTCAGTTCCGTCTTTTCAAAGGTTAAGAACACTTCGCTGTTAGTATTTTGTCTTCATACGTCTTTGCATGCACCCAAATGAAGTAGACAATCTATTCTGTTGTAGCTTTTACTTTGAAATTGCAATCGATTTCAGACGAACCAACTACTGCAGTTTTAGTTTTCAAATGAACTTTTTCGAAAGTATGCAAATTGGAAGTGCGAATGGCAACAAGAAACATGTTTGCCTCAGGCTGCGTCTTCCTTGTGCCTCCATAATTATGACTGCCTTCGTTCCATAAACTCAGTTATTATTAGGTGAGAAGCCGTACATGATGATATCAGACGGCTTATGGCAGCACCTATCTACCGCATCTACATCGGGGTTTTTTTGGGGGGGTTGTTGTTCGATTTTTTTAATATCATTTTTTTAATATCATGATTTTTCGTGTTGATTGACGTTTGGGTTACAGGTTAACAGATAGGTCTTACTTTATCCGATCTGGAGTGCCCGTTCTTGCTTATTGAAATAGAATTTTGACACAGTGTGCCGTCGAGTATTTCAATATAAACCATGTCCACGGAAATGTGCTGATTCGCGGAGATCTGACTGGAATAACAATGACTATAAATACAGCACATTTTCCGCGAATGTGCTAAGACCTCGCAAATGAACTGAATGAATGTCATTAATGTGTTTTGAATTTTAGATTCCCATCACAGAAATGCGCGCGAATCATCACGAGGCGGACACCAGATGTCGGTATGAAAGTCATTCTTATATGAATGATGCGATACTTACTATTCTACCAACGCCGTTGTTATGGAGATTCATCTTTGATTTCATGTCTCGTCCTTTCTCTTTACAATCCAGGAAGGACTCCACGAAGGTCGTGCCGAATTGGATGTCGTGGCTACAGCCGCCCCACTGGAAGTCCACCTCGTCCCCAACGAAGCGCGTGTCACAGCCGCAGGTACGGAGCTGCCCCATGCTACAGGCCCGGGTCACTTGGTACAGGACTCCTGCGGAAATGGTAGCGTAGGCAAAGGCGGTCTCTTGGAAGCCTATACGAAGTGAGGCAAGATAATTGTCGATGTCGTAAGTTTAGTTTTACATTGTTGAAGTGAAATTTGACAAAGAAACAACCCTGGGACCACCAATGGTCGCCGCGAATTACATTAGCAGAACACACACTGCTATTCCTGTGAGGGCCCATTTTATCAAGGTTCATAACGACTAGCAGCACGTGCTTTAATAGACACAAAACATTGCCCTGCTAAATACGGAATTCTGTCGAAATTTTCCGTGACACACTCCTATTTCAAGAGGGTGAGATTTCACTCAACACGTATTCGAATGAAAGTTCATCCCTCCAAAATTGCACCATGGGCAAGACGAATTAGAGTCAAATCAATTCACTCATAGAAGTCGAGATTTCATTGAGGTTTCCAGTGTAGCAAAAGTGGTTCTGTTTCATGCTTTTCAATCTGAATTTAGTGCTATTTTTAACTCCAAAATTTTCCAGTCCTTTGCTTTAATCTTTGGAAGTAATTCAGATAACTTGTTTTAATTGTCCTCAAGCAACGTTTAGAACCAAGCTTCTAGGAGTTAGAGAATACCTTTTGCGTCCCTTGGGTAAAATGATGAGTCAACATTAAATGCTGCTTATTTTGTAAATTTAGCTTTATTCAGTTGCACTTGTCTGTCCTCATAAAATGTTTTCTTCTTTTATCCCAAAAAACAACTTGGCCTCTAAAGATAATCCCTCGATCATTTCGCAAAACAGGCAAGCATCGATGTTGGCAAGGGAGGATATTCGTGGCGACCTACCGAGGACGGCTTGTCAGACCAATTGATGTCTCACCTGGAATAAAGTCCTGCAGGTGAGTTGCAATCTGCACCGCCTACGCGTACACCCAGCTCCCCCCTCCCCGCACCTGCGCCCGACCGCACGACACATCGGGGCCGTCAACGCCCGCTCTCGGACGCCACTGCGGTGCTTTTAGAAGTAGATAGTGCAACAAGGAAGGTGTCACGTTGTGATTGTCACGCGAGCTGTGACCTCGTGACGATGAAAGATGGATCCAACAGAAGTAAAGCCAATAATGCTGTTACAAAAATCTTCTTCAAGGAAACTCTAAAAGGGGGGTGCTGATGGGCACCGGCAACACGGTACACTGCAAATACTGACTTGAGGGAGGTGAAATAACATCGAACTAATGTTACGATTCGAGTTCTATTATTGACTGCCCTCTAGTGATCACAAAGATTAGCATTCAACGGGGTAGAATGTGCCACGTCGGGATGTGCTTAAGCCGCGTCTGAGTCAGCTGGCTACGACCGGTAGATACGTACACGTCTTTGGGAAAGCCACTAAAATGGCTTCCACAGGCGCAAATTTGTCGGCTGCATGCACCAAAGATACTTTGGGCATGGCTGAAACATTTCATCGCACGTGTTCTTGCCAAATAGTAAAAACAACAGACAAAGAGGTTCCCCGTCATCTGATACTTATCACATTACCAGACGTCAGTTTTAATTCGACCGCTAGCGGGCGCCCTGCTGAGTGCGCATTATGGAGCCTTTCCGAAATCCGCACCGTGCTCGCAACAATTGCGACTGGACAAATGGGTAAACGCTTCCTTGAGTTTTCCCCGAAGTCCATTGGTTTGACTTCTGGCAGTTTAACTATTTTAATTCAATTCTTGTAATCACCATGTGTCGGAAATCGTTAATAGAAAGGATCGATGTTCTTGCCAAAGCCTAAAAATTGATGTACAGTATTTGGCCAATATTGACGTACAATATCGTCTGCTTCCGGGGCTTTTTACTGAATTATAAGGTATTTATGAATGGGAATAAGTTTTTTTTTGCTGAAGGCAAGGGTCATTATCGCGTAAGACCAAACACATTACTCATGATTACATGCCGTTCATAAACTCTCAGTGGTGTCATTTAAGTTTTAAAATACGGGATAAACAAAATGACTCACTATTAACTTTGGAAGGGGTAGTTTCAGGGTTCAGGGAAGCAGGGAAGCAGGGTAGGCCTATTGTGTGGGACGCAGATCTTCACAAGTTAAACCATGTGGAAAGAGCCCCTCTTTGCACGTTTTACAGTGACGAATTCCTCCACACAAAAGAAACTTTTGGTTTGTTTTAGATTTTTGAAAAAATCAAATCTCCGGTTGAACGTAACCGGTTACTTTTCTTGTTCGTGGGAGTTTCATAATCCCAGTGGATTACGACCGAGAACTCTTGTGGCATAAGCTACAATGAAAATCCTGCGAAGCCACCATTAATGATGAGTATACAAGGCAATACAGTGTCTGGCAAAAATGACAAAAGGAAAGTCTGAATTTACAGATAAACTATAGTTTTATTCCTTTCACATCAAATATTTTATGTGTACTTCCTTTCATCTCACCATGCCAAAACATCGCAAACCGCGTACCTTGTTCAGCTCACCAAGTCGAAGAACACAACCGTTTATGTTCGGCGCGGCGAGGTACAATCGGGCCTCCGCGCCTGGTGGAAAACCGCTCGCTACTCGGCGGGGCATCCGATCCCGGCAAATTATCTTGTTTACCCGGTTCATCATGGTCCGATTTACGCATTAACGGCAGGGCCTGTGGCCAGTCGTAGACTAAAGTGATTGAATTTATATTGAAAAAAAATCCCACGTACCGTGGAGAAAGCACACAGCGCAAAGTAGCAGAATTTTGTTCGCGTGTGTGGCCTATTGCCATCGATTCATTTCCAATATCCGCGCCAGATGTTGAGTTGTGACACTACATACAGCGCTAACATGATTGAAAGTGCTTGTGAACTTAGAAATTATGAGCATTTTTCAGCAGTGAGTATAAATAATGTGTAAACAGGTCAAAAATCAGTAGGGCCTATACATAAAAAATCATTCTGCGAAAGATGCAACTTCCGGTAAGACTTCATATTCCGTTAATACGGGCGTTTCACAATAGTGCGCCTCCAAGAGTTTGGAACGCATTGGCCAATTACAGTGCGCGAAATCTGTCGACCCATTGCGCGTTTGGAAATGGTCGACAAATTTAGCGCGTTGTGATTGGCCAACGCGTTGCAAACTCTTGGAGGCGTACTCTTGTGAATCGCTTTTATTTGGAAATATGATGCTTTTTGTTTCATTCCGTTTGAATGTAAATATTGTTTGTACCCTTGTCTAATTCCAGAAATAGAACAGATTTATACGGAGATAAATCACGAGAGAAACTGTGTGTTTCATGGGCGGAGATTTCTTGTCACATGTGGGGGAGGATGATTTCTGATAGCTCAGCATGGCCTCCATTCACAGGTGAGATCGTGACTCTGGGAAGTGCGTGGCCGGTGGTGCAAGCTAAAGGCGCCTTTCCATATATATGCAGCAAGCGTTGCGTATCCGTCATAATCGCTCCCGGGCCGATTTTGACGGCCAAACGCAACGCACACGTGTGTTATGTTACTGGAGTCGATTTTTGAGTCTGTGGAAGTGAAACGCATGGACGTACCTATCTAGATATTGAAAGGCACCTTAAGGGGTTAAGGGTGTGCATAAAGTGGGCAGGGATTACATTGGTAACCACCCCGTCAAAAGGTGGGGGAAATATATCCCCCACCCCACCACAATGGTCTGTCTATATAGCTTTATGTGAGCACATCCACAGTGGCGTATCCATTTTATTAAGAAATTCAAATCACCAGGACTCTAGAACCAATATCACCAACTTCCTTTCTCCTTTCCCCCCTTTTTAAGGATGGCGGGGGGGGTTGAAAATATACAGATGAAAATAATCGGACAGTTAAGTTTAGAAAAATTCCACGCTGTCTCGGTGGACCACATACCTGGATACGCCACCACTGTGTACCCACCTTGACTGGAAAGAAAAAACACGCGCATTTTTGATGACTCAAGAGAGTAAATTCACCCATGAGAGCTATGTCACTGTAACGTATCAGCAAAACATTGTGTTCACAACACCTGCATAAAACATACAAGACAACTTGGTCAGAAAAGGTGTCAAACAATGGCCAGAGAAAGTGTCAACGGGATCGACTCCAGCGCAAAGTTCTGTCTGTGCATAGTAAACCGTCGACGGTCAGTGCGGTATCTGACGGCGGGTGCGTTGACCACGCATTTAGCCCCTAGATCATGAAAGGACGTGGGTTAAAAAAAAGGGGGGTCGTTCGTCGTAAATGCTCAGGCTCTGTGACTGCGTTTTGTTTGCTCTGATGACAGGGCCGTTTCAGGGGAAATTTACGCCACCTGGCTCAGGGTAGAAACCTCAAGAACAATGTTTTCTTTTAGCGGGTTTATGATGGGAGTTTTATGTCCCCTGTGACGAGTGAGTTAGAAGGTGTTGTGTTAACACTCAAATTAGTTTGCAGAGAGTGGAGTAAAACCAATACACCATACACACATATTGTATATGCCACTCTGTACAGAACGCATCATAGGCGATAATGGTAGATACATCTATATACAATATGGTCGACTATTTTGTATTTTGTATATAAATGTATATACCATTAGTCCCCGGCCGTTTGCAGCGTCCTCCTCAAAAAATGTAATTAGAAATAATAAGTCGTCGAAATCGGTATTTTCTGTTAGCCAATATTGTGTTTTTTATTGTAATTTCAGATACCTTGAGAAAAATCAGAGAATAAAACGCCCTCTGCGATAAACCGATACAAACGATGCACAGCTGCCAACTTTCTTTACGTTTCAAGTAGGAACCCTCTGACTACATACGAAACAAAACTTTGCAAAACTACTTGATTTTGAACATCAAGTGTGTGGAACTTTTCAGTGTGTACATAACTAAACAGCTTAAGTTTTTAGCGCAGTGTATCGATATTTTGTGTGAGACTGTCGAATGGTATGAAAGACTTAAAGTGACAAGACAAAAGGAGTTTTGAGTTGAATCTGTGCATCTTATCTCTTTTGCACTGACGATCTGTTCGTTGGGATTTTTTCAATGAAAGAGTTCTATAGGCCTGCTATGTTCGTTTTAATACTGCAAAACGTGCACTTTGAAAAGAGACTAAGTATACTA